GCCGGCATTTGGCTTTCCTTGGGTAATCCTGACTGGCAGTGTCCAGCAATTCCTTGGAGCAGGGAAGCCCCTGACGGGCAGCTCCGCTTTGCATGAATGACTTCCCGAGCAGCATCCTGCCTTCTCTGCAAAGTTCCCCAGGCCAACCCCGGTGCAGGCGGAGCTGAACCTGAAGGTGGAGTTTGGTCCTGCTGAGGGCTTAACCACTGCAAAGGCACATCTGGGGCTTCCACCTGGAGCTGTGGGCCTGAGGGAGAGCCATAAAGCAAAAGACACCTGAGTGCAGGGTTCATACCACAGGTCTGCCACTTACTACCTTTAACGCCTCTAGGCCACAAGTGTTCCTATCTTTATAGAAGATCTGTCAGAATCGTGTTCAAGATTAAATGGTCCTTTCCCCAATAAGGGTTCAATAAATACTGTTGGTAGTGAGAGAGGAGGCTGCTGTGCTTCCGTGGAGGTCTTGGTATGGAAAGAGGGAACTGCAAGGGAGGGAGGACTGCAGGGGTTGGGGAGGGAACTGAAGGCACAGAACAACCCCAGTGTGGGGGTTGGGCAGAGGGCAAGACCAGAAGCTGGAGCGCAAAGCCCTGAGACTCCTGGCAGCCCTCACCCGGGTGTGGGGAAGGGAGGCAAGAAACTCCTTCAGGTTGGAGTTCGGACTGGTGGGTGGTGGCTTCGGCTGGTCTGGGGGAACAGTCCAGAGAAACAAGCTGCCCTCAACACACGCACTCTTTGCAGGTGGCCAGGTGGCCGGTCTTAAAGCGTTGTCCAGTTCTCTCCTTCAGTGGCTCCGAAGACTGCCACTTTGTTGCCGCCCCGCAGGCCCAGAAAGGTTGAGGCCCAACCTCCTCCCCACCACCAAGAGTAATTAAAGCATTATTAAAACGGCACAAAACCGGGAAATAAGTAAAAATATGTCCAACAAAGTTCTGATCCTTCCCATGATGACTACTTAAATACGTCCTTCAGAATGCCAAATTCTTACATTAAAAAAAATTTATAAGAGTTTATTTGAAAGGTCTGGCTGGCGTAGCTCAGTGGATTGAGCATGGGCTGCGAACCAAAGCATCGCAGGTTTGATTCCCAGTCAGTGTACATGCCTGGGTTGCAGGCCATGGACCCCAGCAACCACACATTGATGTTTCTGTCTCTCTCTCTTTCTCCCTCCCTTCCCCCTCTAAAAATAAATAAACAAAATCTTTTAAAAAAAAAGTTTATTTGAGCCAAAATTGATTACAGTTGCTGGAAGCAAGATCTTAAATGCTCCAATACCAAATTCTTAAAAATGTGTTCTCTTGTAGCTGTCTGGCCCTGCTTTGCTAATCATGGGCGGATACTGTATCTTGTGGGCACATGCACATTCACCCCACCTGGAATGCACTGATCTATCTCCATTGATTTTCCCTGGCGAACTCCTCACTCTTCAGCGCTCAGCCGGAAGGTCACCTCCGCCGGGAAGCCTTCCCTGATCTCTCCCTCTGGCTGTGGTTTGGAAGCACCTCCCGCTGATTTTCCCTACCGTGGCCCTTGCCATGCTGTACTGTTATTTGAGTCTCCACCCACAGCCTGGAAGCTACTAGTATTGCAGCATGAATCTCCATAAGCCCCAGCACCCAGCGCTGCCTGGCACTTAGTTAAGGCCCGGTAAACGTGGTGGTGGGCAGGGGGGTAAGGGGAGTGCAAGTGGACGTCCAGCAGCAGGCGCCACGTTCGAGGCATTTGGCCGTACCTTTTTCCTCCCATTTTGCCCCCAGACCGCAGCACATGCTAGAGCGAGACCTGGTGGCACCTGCGCTACCCGCAGTTGAAGGCCAGGCTTCGCGTCTTCAGTGTTTGACCCCAGGCTGCGAGAAACGCGGCTGCTGTAGATGCAAGCTGCCGGCCGGCTACCGGGGCTGGTGTGCCGCAGCCCCGACGTGCCGAGGAGCCAAGAACCTCCACTTCTGTTCGTCCCCTTGGGGTCCGACAGCCGCTGCCCACACGGGCGCGCCCGCGTCTCTGGGCGTAGATCGGACTGGGCGGGAGTGCGGGCGACATCCCAGCGTTGGTAGCAGAGGCCCAGCTTTTCCGTCGCAGCTGGCTCAGGGAACCCCCGCTGCTGACCGGACGCTCCATGGACGCAGTCACCGCGCACCGGGATGGAGGCCATGCCGGAAGGCAGAACCATCGCAAATGGAATTAGGGGCTGTGCCCACGCCCCGCGGTTACAAGATCGAGAAGCCTGAGAGGCAAAGGCGACTGCTCTCGGGGCCTTAGAGCAGTTGCCTTGACAGACGCCATTGGCCACATCCCTGACCCCAGATGCTCTCTCCACTTGGCCACTAGGAGAGATCCTGCGAGTTCTGAGTTCAGAAAAGAGACAGGAGGGAGGAGACCACAGGAACACGGGCTCCTGGAAAGGATGGGAAACCTTGTTTATAAACTGTGTCAGGAGAGAAATGATCTTACTGTGCACACACAGGTGTGGTGGCACCTGTTCGTTTCAGACGGGAGTAATGCAGATGGTGGAGGGTGAGTGAAGGCAGCTAGATCTCGCCCTGCTAAACTATTCTAGCACCTAATTCTAGAATATTCCCACGAAGCCCCAATTATGGGGCCAGAGATGGGGCCAGAAATGGCTGGCATGGCAGGGAGGAGAAACCCAGAGGCAAAGGGTCTGGGGTTGTCATGTTGACAGCCATTTACTCCCTTTTCTCAAGAGAAAGATCTTCAGGTCTTCCTTATCCTTACCCTGGCTCTGGCCAACCATCCAGCACCCTTTCTAGTATGCTCTCAGCAGAGAAGGGCATCTGACTGGCCAGGGGTGGGAAACTGTTTGCATGATGCAGCTGAAAGACCAAGGTCTCACTGATAGTCCCTTGGAAACAGTAAACGCAGCCATTTGGCATCTTGCAGCTTGTTTCCTGGTTGGGCCCCTTTCCGGTTTCTTTCCTTCAGAAGACAATGTAAAATGATATACCATCACTCCCAGTATGGAGGGGGGCCTCACAGGAGCTACCCATTCCTGTATTCCTTTTACCTAGTACAGTGCCTAGTCCGTAATAGCTGTTCGATGGAAATTTGTTTGCACTGTGAGCATCTGAATGAATCACAGGCATTGTCACAGAATACTGGAGTCTTGGAGTTAGAAAGTCACTTGCAGGATACCAAGCCCCACGGAGCGTGTCTGGGAGTTGCTGATTAGAATGAGACCCTTTATCACCTGGTCTAAAGAAACACTTCCTGCCACCCTCCTCTGCTCCCTCTCAATACACACACACACACACACACACACACACACACACACTCTGCTCTCTCTGGAGAGGACTTCAAGTCTCCCCGAAGCAACAAAAGATGGCCCATTCAGGCACACGGGCCAGGTCCTTCCTGACTCTCCCCATGTGGGTTTGTCCCCAGTGCCCCTCTGAGAGCAGCATCTTTCCGGCTCCCCCACAGACTAGGGTAGCTCCAAAGGAGGGAGAGAAGTGAGTGAAGGAGACATGAATGTGTCTGGGCCTTCAAGTTCCAGAGCATCCTGCTCACACAGGCACCTGGGCTCCTCCAGACCTCCGTGCTTCTGGGAGGCAGCCATGTGCTTTCCCAGGTTCTCCACGGAGGACTCACACCCCTGCAATTTCCTTCTTTCTCTCACTCCATTTCTTCAGTTCCTCCTCCTTCCTTCCCCTACCATTCTCTCTTCAATTTCCTGCAGGATCTTCTCCTTTTTTCCTTGGCTAAGTTTTCAGTTCTGTTTCTGAACCCTCCTTTTCTCTCCTCCAGGGCCCTCCTTGGATCCTGGCTAAGGGAAATGAGAAACCAAGAGCTCCTTCTCCGGGCCCTCAGCAGCAGAGGCGGTCCTCCTGGGACACTCCCCACAAGGCACAGCAATCCCTAGACTCCAGGCAGGCACCTGCTAAGGGATCCTGGCTTGTGGCATTTGAGGGAAGATGGGAAATTCTGTGCAATACTAAATTCTACTCAAAGCAGCCTTGCAGTTCAGCTGACCACTAACATGTGAAGTGGCCAAAGACCCACCACAGTGAGGCTACTGAAACACGTTGCAGTAGCACGTTGCAGCACATGAAACATTTCACCAGCATCTGCAGTCTCTTCCCAGCCCCACAGCGCCAACACTGTGGGCCAGGTGAGGTTTTCCTCATCACACTGAGAGTGTGGTGAACCTGAGCTTGGCTGTTTCTACCACCCACGCTAAAACTATTCTAAGTTTTAGAGATTGCATATCTTTCATTTTGTTTTATTCTCACAGCAATCCTGTGAAATGGACAACAACCTTGCGGAGGAGAATCAGCAGTTCAAGGAGATGAAATGACTTGCTCACAGCCACCCAGCAGACTCCAAGCCTCAAACCACAAAAGGAAAAGGGGAAGCGGGATTCAGACGCCAGCAGCCAGCAGCCAGGTATGCTGCCCAGGACTATGCCAAGACACACGCAGGTATCAAGGCCCCGCCCCGGCCTTGTTCTGCCCGCGGGGAAGTGGGGGGTTTGAGGAGAGAAATCTCAGCTGTTCCCGTGACAGTGTCCCCACTTGGGCGAACGTCCTAAGGCTCCTTCGGAAAGTCGATGGCCTTGAACTTTGTGCTGAAGGGGCACGGGGCAGAGAGAAGCCCGGGAGACCAGGATGGATGGAACGCGGAAAGCAACCCTAGGGATTGGGTGGGGGAGCAACGGAAGGACTAGCTCCTCCCTTGCAGGGTCAGGGGCTGTGGAGCCGCCGGGAGGACTCCTTCTCAGCCCGAAGCCAGAAACCTGGGAAGGCAGTAGGACCCGGAGGTGCAGCGGCCCGTCGCCTCTCCTCGAGGGTGGGCACAAAGAGGCTGCGAGGGCCAGGCCCTGACTTTTTTGTCCGAGACGTCCGAGCTTCCCCAACAGCAGAAGCAGCCGCTGGGAGCCTTCCCCGCCGGGCGAGGGCCCTGGCAGGCCCGCGCTTTCTCTGAAAGTGAAAGAGGTGGGCGGGGGGCGCGGCCGAGGCGGGGCGCGGGCGGGCAGCGGCGCAGGCTCCGCCTCGGGGCAGTCTCGAGCCCGGGGCGCCGAGCGCCTCCAGTCCCCAACGCGTCGCGGGCTGCTGGGCTCCGCTGCGGCTCTTGGGCCGGGAAATGACCCTGCCCGGGGGCCCGACGGGCATGGCGCGTCCGGGAGGCGCGGGACCCTGCAGCCCCGGGCTGGAGCGGGCCCCGCGCCGGAGTGTCGGGGAGCTGCGCCTGCTCTTCGAGGCGCGCTGCGCCGCGGTCGCTGCAGCCGCTGCAGCAGCGGAGCCCCGGGCTCGTGGGGCCAAGCGGCGTGGGGGACAGGTCCCCAACGGGCTTCCGCGGGCTTCCCCTGCGCCGGTGATCCCGCAGCTGACAGTGACAGCCGAGGAGCCGGACATACCCCCGGCCAGTCCCGGGCCGCCGGAGCCGGAGGGTGGCAGGCTCCCGGCCGTGGGCTCATCGCACCTGCAGCAGCCGCGCCGCCTCTCCACCTCGTCCCTCTCCTCCACTGGCTCCTCGTCGCTGCCCGAGGACTCGGAGGACGATCTGCTGAGCGACAGCGAGAGCCGGAGCCGCGGCAACGTGCAGCTGGAAGCCGGCGAAGTCGTGGGTCAGGTAGGGGCCGCGAGGGCGGAGCCAGCCCCGGGCGCGGGGGCTGCTCTCTGGGGACCCAGATCCTAGCTCTCTGAGGTCCGACTCCTTCCCAAGTTCCCTCGCTGAGGGTCCGACTCTCGCTGCCCAGGGGGCTCAGGGGCCGCAGCGAGGCGCCAGTCGGGTCTGATCTCTTGCCTTGGCAGTTTTCACCCGGGTTCCACTGGAGGAGGGTCGCGACCCGGGCCCAGGGGCGTCTAAGAAGGCGAGTGAGGAGGAGTCTGCGACAAGTCACAGGGACCGGGTGGGGTGGGGAGCGGAATCGTGACCTGCCGGCTGCGAGGTGGGGCTTAAGGGCTGGTAGGGGTTGGCCTTGCCCCGAGAACTCTCGGGAAGAGAGGGGCGAACGAGTCTCCCAATCTTGCCGCCCCCTCTCCCGCGCCGCGGCCCCACCCCCGCCGTTGCCACGGTTTCCCTCTCCTGAGTGGGAGTGGAGCGCGCTCTAGTCTCTGCTCGGGAACCGCCGCCGCCGTCTGCTCCCCGAGCCCGCACGAGGCGTGGACGTGGGGAAGGGAGGGGCGCAGGGCTGGGAGCTCTGGCTGGAAGGGGACCGCCTTCCTCCCCTCTTTACTGCTCCTAATTTTGGCTGGGGGAGGGTAAACTGAGGCTGAAAGGGCGTGATCAACCTATTAGTCTACACCTCTGGTGTCAGAGGCCTGATTCGACCCTCGAAAATCCAGGCCAGGGTTCCCTTGAAGACATTACCTGTGCCTGCCCCTTCGGGCTGTGCCGCGCGCAGCATAGCCGTCCTGGGCCCCTAGTTTAAACGAAGGCCAAATACTTTCCATAACTCCTCACGATCAGTAGGAAGGAGTTGCTCTAGATCCACATTATGCAAGTGTCCCTAGAGCTGAGGGAGAGACGAAGGGCGCCCCGCAGGCTCGGGTGGCTCCCGGCCTTCCCAGAAGGGCGGTGAGAACCGCGGAGGCGCGCCAGAGCTGCGGGGAGAGCACTGGGGCGCGGCCCGGGCCTGCGGAGCCCAGGCTGCGCCGCACGCTGCGATTGGACAAGGCGGGGAGACACTGAGACGACTCGCAGTGGACCCGTCTTGGTTACCCCCTGAGACTTAACTACATTACCTAGAGGGCGGTATGGTTTGTGACACAGGAGGAAAGAGAGAAGTCTCACAGAATAGGAACACACCCGGCCCCCAGGTGTAAGGTGCGGGCGTCCCTCGCTCTTCTCCCCGGAGTCAGGGTGCCCCTGACCCACGATCGTTCCCAGTGCAACCCTGGCCCATGCAGTGAGGCGGTGCGCCTAGGGGTTTCCGAGGAAGTGGAATGTGGGGCAGTGAGAGGACTCCTCCCTCCTTGCCTCTTCGGAAAATCCGGAGCAGTGCACGGCTCCCCCGCTCAAATCTCTGGCAGCTGAGAGGCGGGCGCGGGAGGAAGGGCGCCACGAGGGCAGCCTCCCCCCTCAAACCCCCACCCCATTCCCTCTAAAGCCCGTGGGCGAAGGAGGTCCCGCGGCCCAAGGCTGTGTGCTACGTAGGCGGCCCGACTGGGGTCAACGCTCCAGGGCTCCAGGGACCGGTCGCAGCTGTGAGCTAGGCGTCTTTGGCCGGCCTCTCCCACCCTGGGCCTCGCCGTCCCGGCACGGCCAGGAGCTGGAGCAGATGGCTGCTTGAAGGCCCTTCCAGCTCCAAGGCTGTGCCTTTCGGGCCTTCCCAACCCCCAGCCCGCCAGGGCCTCCCCTAAAGCAAACAGCCACGGCGGCGGCCGATAAGCCAGAAGCTGTTGACAGAGGCCACCTGCGTCCTCGTGGAAGGGCCTGGCGCGGACTTTGCCTCTCGGCCGGTCCGGGAGCGGCCCCGCGCGCCCGCCCAGGCTGCCTTTAGGGCTTCCCCAGGCAGGAAGCAGAGCCCGTGGGCTGGCCGACCGTTAAGGATGCACCTGGGAGAAGGGTACTGCGGCAGCACTGGGAATTCCCGGGTCGCCAGGCCCTTACACTCGGATCTGGGCAGACAACGGGAATAGCCAGAGCAGAAGGAAGCCTGAGAAGGCTCAACCTTGCTTCTGCCGGGAACACATGTCCTTTTCCTTCTCCTAGGGGCCGAGAACAGCCTGCCCAGAGCCTGAAGCTGGGCTCCCCATAGGGTAGTTGGGGCTGGACAGCCTGCCTCCCTCCCTGGACCCTTCTTTATAATACAGGGAAAAGTCATGGGCAGGGAAACCCAGCCGGGTCGGAAGCTGGGGTGGGGAAAGGGGCTTTCTCCAAGGGCAGCTGTCATGACTGTGTTCGTAGGCCTTGCCTGCATCTTAAAACAATGTTGGGGTGTTGCTGTGGCCGAAGAGAGGGTGTTGGCTCCTGTTCATTTGGTTCTCTTCTCTCGGTGCTCCAGGAAGGGTAAGGAGACTTGGATGCCACCCTGTCCTGGACCCAGAACTCCCATACTTCACTTTTCACTAATTATAGAGCACAATTTAGGTTAACTGACTTCCTTTTTAAAAAGTAAATGCCCCTGGGAGGGTGAAGTCGTGGGTCACTTATACCTTAGTGCAAATGATTTTATAAATTTAAACGGATTGCTTTCACCACCACCACAGGGAGTACTAGTTTGATAGGCAATGGGAACGTGGGGAGGGTGTGGGGCTGGTAGAGAGCTTCTGCCAGTGATTGGATGGCTGGAGGGAGGGAGGGAGTGGGAGTCCAGAAGTAGTGGCATGGGTACTGGAGGCAGAGTAAAGGGTCCATTCTGGCAGAAGATACACTGAGTGTCCAGTGTGATAGAGAAGCAGGAGTCCTCGGGGCTTCAAACAGAGTTTGGAGTGAGAGGCAAGTGTCTAGCCAAGCCCTGTCCAGAGAGAGATGTTCCTTGTCCAAACCGAAGGGTGAGGAATTATCAGAGGGTCCTCTTGTGACTTCATTAAAGACACACAGGTCAGTTCTTCTGGGCTTTTTGCCCAAAGAAGCTCTGCTGGCCTCCGGCTGTGAGTTGGCTTCCCAGGCTTCGGTGGGGAATAGCCTAGGCCAGAGAATGGGGCTTTGGCCCTCTTTTCAGGTAGATCTCCCTTTGTAACACAATAAATCATTCTGATATCCATGCAATAAAGGCCTTACCTGCTCAAAAAGTATCTTCCCTGCTGTTTTCATGTACCCAAATCATCACCCACCCGCCAAGAATGTTTCTGCAGGACTCTTTCTGGAGATATGCCTCTTTGTATGCATTATGTCCTCTGGAGGAGGTGGCTCCCGGAGAGGGAAGGGGGCAGTGAGTTGCATGACACTTGCACCAACCCCTTCCATGTGTGACCACAACCATTACTGGCCAGGCTGCTGAACCCTGTCAGAGCAACCTCAGGAGGTGGCTGGGATGGCTCAGCTGACATGATGGGTATGAAAACCCTCCGTAGCCTGCATGGCTGGACCCGGCCGTAGTCTTTGCTGCTCTCAGCTGACATGATCCTCTCAAAACTGGGGAGGGGAGGGGAGGGGATGACCCCTTTTTACATCGTTTTTGGAAGCAAGCTGATGCTGTGTTATCACACATCAATCACGTGGCTGTAGTCCAGGACTGCCGGTGCTAAACCCTCTTCTACCAGACCCACCCTCCACCTTCCATCCTCACTCACGACTCCCACATGATCCCAGAAGAAAGGATGATGTAGTTCCCTCATCTCACTTGACACAAAGCTGATTCTCTCTTCCACTGGGGTGGCTACAGAAATAGGTATACCCTCTGATTAACTCCATTCTGGTCCCACTCTCCCCCACATTCTGCCAGTAGGCCCCTCAAGCTGCCTGAACCTCACCATTAAACCCATTCCCTTGAATGAAGGCAAAGGTGTCAAGCCAACAGAGGGGTGGGTCCCCAGGCATCCCAGTGTTTCCGAGAGATCAAAGCACACCACTTTGTGGCTGTGTATTGCTTCACCTAGTACAGAGCTCTTTCTCATGGGGGGGGGGGGTCCCTTTGACCCCTCAGAAGGAATCAGGGTGGTAGCATGGACTCTAGAACCTGCCAGGGCAATCGGAACATAGGAAGGGGATTGGGCTGGTAGATGGCTCAAACCAGGGACTGGGAGGCTGGAGGCAGGAAGTGAGGGCATGCTGACTCCCCTGCGCCTTAATTTCTTTGTGTAAAATAGCAACAATGCCACCCCCTCCTGCACTTACTGACTATGTGCTTCATTATCATCACTCTCAAAGTGAGAGTGGGAGAAGAGGGTATAGGTGGTGCTGCTGAATACACATGGCACATACATCTTCCCAGAATTTTATTTGAAGTTTTGGAGGTGGGAGAGTTTCATAATAAAACTTGGGTTTATGCAGCATAATGCAAGCCTTGTATGTATTTAAAGAGCAAAAAAAGGAGTTTTGAAAGAGTGGGCTGCTTCTGGCTACACCCCTAGATCCCTGGAGATTGGACACGTGATCACACCCCAGCACACCATATAGGGGCTGCGGCAGGAAAGCAGGAGCGCTGCTGTCTCATGGAGGTTGAGAAGTGCCTGGCAGGCAGTAGGCGGCCAGTAAATGGTGGCTTGTGTTATGGCAGCAGCTATGCCTTCACAGAGGAAACAGGCTTACACAGATGAAATTCTTGCTTGGACTCACTTGCCTAGAACATGACAGAGCCAGGCCTGGAACCAACTCTTGACTCCCCGTCCAGTGCTCTGTCACTAACTCCCGTCTCATTACCTCCCATTTCATCCATGCATGAAAGGGCTTGAGGTCAGCAGCCTTACCCTGCTTAAGCCACTGCCCCAGTTCTCCCTCTTCTTCTTAGAACTCCCTCTGGTCAGGGAGGCTGGATTCCGGTGTTCCAGCCCTGTGGGGGCACATATGTGTAACTCCTCTAAAAGCAGGCAGACCTGGGAGGAGGCAGCAAACACACGGTTTGGATGAGCAAACCTGTGCGTGTCAAACCTGTAGACATAGGAATGATGGCTTTGGGGTGGGAAGAGGAAAGGTTCAGAATATGAGATGCTTTCGGGATGAGGTGGAGGCCAGAGGTACGCCAAAATCTACATTTCCCTCCCAGTTTGATCTAAGATGACAGACCCTGTGGGCTCTGCCTCCCATTTGCAAAGCTCAGGTTTCTAGGTCCAGATTAGGACCAAGAGTGTCCTGGGTCTTGCCAACTGGTGAGGAGTGACATGGCACCCAGGGATAGCAGACAACTTTGGGAAACCCAAGTCTGTCTTTCTTTGGACACTGCCAGGCACCTGGCCCCCCTTCCCTGGGCCTTTGTGAAGGTTTGCTTCTGTGATTGTCTGTCTCCCTATATGAGAGGAACCTATGGTCCCAAAGGGAATGAATCAGCAATCCAGATTTGTCCAGCTTCTACTCTGTGACAAGAAATGAGGTTGGAGGACAGAAAGTCTGTCACACATTCAAGCCTCATTCATTACTAACAACAGTCCAGTGAAAGCGGTTATTTCCCCGTTTTACAGATGAAGAAACGGATGCACAGAGGCATGTTTCTCAGGCCCCAAAATATCCTGAGGCATTGGTAGAAATGCAAATTTTTGGTCCTACCCCAGACCTACTCAGAATTTTCCTGTGGTAAACCCAAGAATCTGCATTTTTAACAAGGGTGACCATCAGGTGATTCTCACACTCACAAAAGTTCTAAAACCTCGACAAAACAGCTTAGTTACCTGTCCACGCAGGTTTTGAGCCTTCTGATGCTAGGTCCAGGGCACATTTGAGGAGCTAGATATCTGTCACCACCATGTGCATCTCAGGGTCCAACACACAGGCTCACAATAAACTTTTCTGAGTGAGCAAATGAATGAATCATAAGGCCCTAGCTGCTTGCGGTGGGGCAGGGCGGGCCGAGCCCCTGTTCCAGAGGAGGGAGGGCTCATGCACTGCCCAGACGCCGGACAAGGAGCCCCGGACCGTGTTGCTTTCAGAAAAGCCACTGGCAGAAGATCCGGACCATGGTGAATCTGCCGGTCATGAGCCCTTTCAAGAAGCGTTATGCCTGGGTGCAGCTGGCTGGGCATACGGGTGAGCAAGGCAGGGGCGGGTGGGGAGGGTGTGTTCCCCGGGGACGGGGTGGCGGGGCGGGGGGTCGGGGGGGGGGGAGTAGGCAGAGCTAACTAGTGCCCGGGTCTACAGGGAGTTTCAAGGCGGCGGGCACCAGCGGGCTGATCCTGAAGCGCAGCTCGGAACAGGAGCGTTACTGCTTAGCGCGGCTGATGGCCGACTCGCTGCGCGGTTGCGTGCCCGCCTTCCACGGCGTGGTGGAGCGCGACGGCGAGAGCTACCTGCAGTTGCAGGACCTGCTCCACGGCTTCGATGGCCCATGCGTGCTTGACTGCAAGATGGGCATCAGGTACGTGTGCCCTGCCAGGCCGTGCAGGGACCAGCGGGCGGGGGTCCAGGGCCGTGCCCCGCCGGGTCCGGTGTGAGTCCGCTCACGCCCCACCGCTGCCTGCGCCTCCTTAGGACTTACCTGGAAGAGGAGCTGGCCAAAGCCCGAGAGCGGCCCAAGTTGAGGAAGGATATGTACAAGAAGATGCTGGCCGTGGACCCCGCGGCGCCCACTGAGGAGGAGCACGCGCAGCGCGCCGTCACCAAGCCGCGCTACATGCAGTGGCGAGAAGGCATCAGCTCCAGCACCACGCTCGGCTTCCGCATCGAGGGTATAAAGGTGCGCCGGCCCCTGCACAGCCCCGCCCTCCTTCGGCCCCGGCCCCACCCCGCGGTGTCTGACTTCCCAGGTGGCCCCCAACTTCCCGGAGTAAGCGCCCTTTGGCGGCCGCCTCTCAGCCCCTGGCTTCCAAGGTCTAGGGAGGTTGCTCTAACTGATCCTCTCCCCCGCCCCCTGCCGGGTAAGGGCCCCTGACACCTCCTGTCCCACCTCCTTAAGAAAGCAGACGGATCCTGCAGCACCGACTTCAAGACCACGCGAAGCCGGGAGCAGGTGATTCGGGTCTTTGAGGAGTTCGTGCAAGGGGATGCGGAAGTGCTGGTGAGCGCCAGATCCTGGAACCCCGAGCTATCCGGGAGCCTGAGACCCAGGGGCGCCCCAAGCCAACCCGTCTATTGCCCTCGCCTCTGTGACCCTATCGTAGCATTTTACCGCGTTGTGTTGTAATTGTTGTGCGCTCCTTCCCTTCTGTTCCACGCGCCACTTGAGGGTCTGTGTTTTCCTCCACTGGCATTTACCAAGCCAAGCATGCATCTTGGCCCCTAATGTTAGCAGAAGCTCAGTTGGTGTGGAGTTCATTTGCCCTCCTCTCCTACCCTACCCTCTCCAGAGGAGGTATCTGAATCGCCTGCAGCAGATCCGGGACACCCTGGAGGTCTCTGAGTTCTTCAGGAGACACGAGGTAAGAGGTCAAGTTCCCGTCTGCGGTCCGTGAGGGCTACACCGGAAAAGCGGAAAAGCGCGGCGGCACTTTCCCCGGGGAAAGGGCTGTGGCCTGATCTTCTGGGGCTCTGCAGGTGATCGGCAGCTCACTGCTCTTCGTGCACGATCACTGCCATCGCGCCGGCGTGTGGCTCATCGACTTCGGCAAGACCACGCCCCTGCCGGACGGCGAGACGCTGGACCATCGAAGGCCCTGGGAGGAGGGCAACCGCGAGGACGGCTATTTGCTGGGGCTGGACAATCTCATTGGCATCCTGGCCAGCCTGGCCGAGAGATGAGGCTAGGCCGCTGTCCCCGCACAGACCGCCGGTCTGGCAGAAGGACCTGCGTCTTTGTCCCCGCCATGCATGCCGGGGAGAGACTGAAACCCAGAGGCTGGGGCGGTTCACAGGTTCCTGTAGGGCCAGGTGCCAGACACTATGGGACGCACTGTAGGCACCAAGGCTGTTCCCCATACAAACCCAAGTGGTCCCAGAGCCAGAGCCGATGACACTAATTTATGCGGGAGGGTGGGGGTGGGATGTAGGCTGTGACGACTGTGACGACGGGCTTCGTCCTCATCCCAGCTCTTCTGAGGGGCTCTATGCTTCTCCAGAGAGGCCAGAAAATTAATTTTATTTTGCAAGCATTAGATCTATTGATCTGAACTCCCACACTACGATGGACCCCCCTTCTCAATAAAGCTCACAAACACCAGCTTTGGCAGCTCAGACCTCATCTCCTCCCTCCTCTGGCCCCCTCTTTCTCAATTCCCAGGCATCCCTTATGTCCACTCAGATTACAGGACGATATGAGAAGCCTCTTTATTAGAGGCATCTGTAGGGTTACAGGCTGCCGGGATAAAAGATGCTCACAGGGGAAGGGCAATCCAGCCAAGGCCCCCTGCAGGAGGCAATCTCAACTCACCACCCACACCTGAGGGAGGTGGGGGGTTGGCCTCTGTTCTCATCCCAAAGTTCAAAGTCTGGGAGTGGCCAGGCTCTTCCCCAGGAGGCCTGGGTCTGGTTTCCAGGATGGAAAGTCCAGTGCTGCGGGCCAGCCCTGAGACAGGCCCAGGCATGCAGCAAAACTGGGGCGGGGGTGGCAGGGGAGAGGCTACTGGAATAACAAGCCACCTAGAAACCAAGGGAGGAGTGCAGGGAGGAACCATTACTAGCATCAGTGCCTGTGCCCTCACCCTCGGCCTTGGGGCCCAGAAGCCATAGGTGGGATTCCAAAATTCTGAGGTTGGAGTCCCCTGGATTTGGGCGGGGCGGGGGGGGGGCACTTGAGGCCAGAAGGCAGACAAGAACCAATAAGGCTCCCTCCCAGCTCTTCAAGCCTTCCAGACTCAGTTCCTGGGCCTGTGGGGAATCTTAGGTCCTCCAAAGGCCTGCTTCCCAATCTGGAAGTCCCTTTCCCCTCCAGAGTGGGCTCCAGTTCCACTGACAGAGGTGAATTCAGCACTCTAGGTCCTGTAATAGGATGGTAAGGCAACTGGGGGGGAGGGCGTAGGTTTGGGTTTTTTGTTTGTTTTTGTCTTTTTAAGGTTTTATTTATTTATTTTTAGAGAGGGGGAAGGGAGGGAGAAAGAGGGAGAGAAACATTGATGTGAGAGAAGAACATCAATTGGTTGCCCCAACCTGGAACCAAACCCGCAACCCAGTCATGTGTCCTGATTGGGGATGGAGCTGGCGAATTTTGCTTTGTGGGATGAGGCCCAACCAATTGAGCCACTGCAGTCAGGGCCCCAGTGTTGTTTCTCGCTTCCTTCCTGACCCGACCCCATGACCAGATGATCATGGCAGGTCATGGGGCACACCTAAGAGCAGTTGAAGATGCTCCAAGATGCTGGCAAGAGTGGGGCAGAGTTCAGGCTGCTGCTGCCAATGACGGTTCATGATATGCTCCCTGGGGAGAAGCAGGACTTTTGTGCTCAACCATGGCTGTAAAGCAGCCCCTCCCTGAGCAACACATCATTCTCTCACAGGCCCTGGACAGCCCCTGGGAGGGTCCATCTGTCCCCCTCCGACTATGAAGTCCACTACCTCCTGGTTAGCACGAACAGAGTAGGGCAATGTAGCCCAGCAAGATGTCCCAGAGCAGTACCCCAAAAGGCCTGCATCATGAATGAAGGGAACCAAATGAAGCCCGTCAGGTACAGCGCCCTCTTCCCTCACCTGTGGCAGGGGAGTGGGAGGGTGTGGTATTACCAGGAGTCTGTCTTGGATGTGAAGGTGCCCTCCAGGAAGGCCTCTGGGGCATCTACTTGACCTGCAGCACAGCCCACAGACCCTTGCAGAAATAAGTGGCTCACCGGCAGGGAGGAGGAGAGGAATGAGTTATTCTACTGTCACAGGAGGCTGCTGGGAAACTCCCTTGAAGCAGCAGCCTTCCTCAAAGTCCCCAGTCTTGGCCACCAGGCTGTCCTAATGCAGCTCAGCAAACAGTCCTGGCAGTGATGATCCTGCAGAGTGGGGGAGGGGGGAACTGCCAGAACTCAGAATCTCTGGCTCTAATCTGCTTTCATAAAAGTTATGTTGGAAGGGTTCTTTCTTGCGGGGGTGGGGGGTGGGTTGGACCAGGGGTTCCTTGAGGTGGGATTACTTCTACTTGTGGATGAAGGGATTTTCCTCCAGGTGGTGGCAGCCCTGGGCTGTGTCCTGGGCCAGCTTGGAGCAGGTCCCACATGGCCAGAGGTGACAGCGGGCCTGCGTTGGGCAGGCAGTACATTAGTCTGTGCAGGTGTGGCATACATGGACAGGGTCTTTAGAAGGGCCTAGGGCCTGGGAGAAGGGTCTTCCCAGATAGAGTCGACTGTGCCTCAGGAAACTCTGCACGTCCTCCCAGGTGTCAACTCTGGTAGAATTAGGCGAGGGGCATCCTGGAGGTGGAGCCCCACACGGTGTCCAGTGCTTTATTGGCTAACCTTGCTGGGCAGGTGGTACACATACCCCATCACCAGCAAGGAAAGAAACCATGCTTTAGGCTCCACAAAACTGGAGGGGACCACTGTGTCCCTAGACTTGCTACCTCTCAGCCCCAGGGTGAAGAGAGGCTCTTCCTGCAGGCAGTTCTGGGGGCCTCTGGCCCCAGGTGCACCTGATGAGAGCGCCTGAGTGAGGAAGTCAGGGCCTCCTGTGGAGAGCAGAGTTCTGGCAGGGTCTGCGAGGAGGACAAGGGCTCAGAACCCCTAAGCTCCTCAGACACTTTAGGAGGGTGGGTTGACCCCAGCATCAGCAATTGTTTCTCCTTCCATGGAACCCTGCTCTCCTATCCCCAGCTGAAAGTCCCACCCTCTCTGACCTTGATAGCCACCTACAGGAGGTGGGGGGTCCCCAGGAAGGCCAATCACCAGACCCCCACAGACCTCTCCAAAGGCACCACAGCCCAGGTCTCTGCATGAAGACAGGTTGGAAGGGAGTGGGTGGCTGAGCCTGAGGAAGGGTCCTGGAGAGTCTAGTCTCCTTTACCTCCCTCCCCCAACCCCCTCCTTTGCTCAGCTGGCACTATCTGAGAGTCTGAGCTTTCTCTACATCATGGCATGTCCCCAGGTATAAGTCCTGCAGAGGCAGTGTTGACTGGCACAGAGCTGGAGCAAAAGAGAGAAAAGGTATGAGCTCAGGGTTGGGGTGGGAGTCAGTATGAAGCTTCCCCTTAGGTTCTGGCAGACACCCTGAGGTGGAGGCAGCCCTTGCTCCAAAGGAATCATATCCTGGGTCCCTACCATCCAAAAATTGAAGGTGACACCTGACCCTAGACAAGTTATTCTCTCTTTTGGAGGTGCTCTGGCCTCTCTCTCCTCTATCCAAGGTGTTCCGGCCAGCAGCTCTCGGGATCCAGAACTCACCACAGCAGGGGCAGGGTGGGAGGGGGATTCAGAGCGGAGACAGAAGACTAACCTGAGCAGAATGATGTTCTGGGGAAACATCAGAAAGCCCTGGAGGTGGAGGCCAGGACTGGGCTGGGCCAGGCCCCATCTGGCAGCAGTGGGGCTGTCCTGATGGTGGATGTCTGAAGCTCGCTCAGTTTGAGCACAGAGCCTGGCAGCCTTGTCCTCCACAGGCCCTGCCTCTCCTGTGGTTCACTGAAGGTGGGAGAAGCCACCTTGCTCTGCCTCCTCCTGCCTAGGACACCTCTTCAGATGCCAGTTTAAGGGCCTGTTTTCCCCAGGGCCTCCCCAGTTGCTCCTCTTAAAACCCCAGAGGAGTTCACCATTGCTCTGCAGGGAGTGGGCTCGTGAAATCAGCCATGTGAGCCCCTGGGACCCCACACAGCTCAGTGGAGAGGTGGGCAGCCTTGAATCAGCCGTATCTGCTGGATGATACATACCCAGAATCAGGACCACACACACCATAAGGAGGCTCAGTGTAGCAGTCGCCCCCACAGCTACCAATAGAATCAGAGCCTGGGGTGTGGGCAGATGCAGGGAGAAAGAGAGACACCCCCAGTGGGACACTCCTCTCTTGTCCCTCTACTCTAGGTTTTTACCCATGCCTCAAGATTCATCTCAGGTGTAAACTTTTCATTCATTTTTTAAAAAATCTTTATTGTATTTTTTCACATTACCATTTAGGCCCCATATATCCCCCTCCCCACAGCAATCTCCACACTCTTGTCCATGTCCACGATCAGGTGTTAACTTTCCCTTGATGCTTTTCCCTCTTACCCTAGACAAGCACAGCCTCTCCCTCCCAAGAACCCTTCAAACACTTTACCTCCCCTATGGCAACTGTCACTTTGATATATATCTATGTCTAGATATATAGATAGCTAAATAGTGCCCCTCCCACACTCGACCACTAGACTACATGCTCCTTGAAGGCAGAGCATGCACTGATGCATCTCCAATCTCCTGTCCACACCTGACACAGTCAGTGCCTGGCACACAGCAAGCAATGTTCGCCATACCCTACTACTCCGCCCAGCCTGAGCCCCCTGGAGTCCAGACCTTGGACAAAGACAACACATACGCATGCATGCAGGGGATGTTACCCACAGCTAGCTCCATGCCCTCTGGGAACATGCATTCGGCCAGCTGGAACTCTGCCTGCCATTGGCAGCCTTTCAAAAAGCAATGACTGCAATTGAGATGCAGTCGGATCTGCACTTCTCCATGGTTCTCCTTGACTATGAGTAAAAAAACTAATGTTGCAGGGTGAGAATGGAGCTGTGGGGGACACATACATACTTTTGTCAGCCCTGTGGATAACTCTAGCCCTGGACTTTGAAACAAGGAGCAAAGCCAGGCATTTAAGGGTGGGTGGGAGGTCTTGGGGGACTTCTGTCAGGCCTGCATACTTCCTTTTCTGGAATCTTTGAGCTTAGAAGTATTTGAGAATTCGTAGTAAGGAGATACTTGAAAAGCACCCCAGAATGCCCCAGACAGACAGCCCAGTTCCTAAATATTTCTGTGCTGTGCAAGAAGCAGGTAGTTCACAGTGCGAAGTTCCTGGCTTAGATGGGAGTGGGCTCAGGGATTGAGGAAAAAGGCTAGCCCAGACTGAAAGCTGTGGGGTAGGAGCTAATACTTGCCAGAGGCTGCAGGCAGAGCTCATTGCTGGGGTGTAGAAAGGATACACCATCTTCCATATTAGCTGAGAGCAAGTCCGTCTCTGAGGTATCAACCCCTGGAAATAAAAAGTGATGGAGGAGGAAGGGGCACATAGCTGCCTCACTGCTGGGAATGGCTTATGAACAGTGGGGAAGCTGGAGTCTTCCAGCAGAAACCCTGATTCCCAGCATGTGGCCTCCTCTATGCTAGCATCACAACATAGGTGCTGCCGCTTCACAGGTGGGAGCTGGAAGCCAGAGAGAGGTGGAAGGGAGTAATTAGCTGGAACCTATAGGCCTGTCTCAGGCGGCTAGGACATCTCCTGTCTGTCTGACTCCTCTGGTCCCATGTCCTCAGCTGTATGGGAGAGGCTGTATATAATAGGAGATGATGTATACAAATTACCATATTTTTAGGACTATAAGATGCACTGGACCATAAGATGCACCTAGGTTTTAGAGGAGGAAAATAGGAAAAAAAATTTTTGAAGCAAAAAATGTGGTAAAATATTTAATAACCTGTGACCCCACTCCACCGCCACCCCCCTCCCCCAGCAAGCTAGGCAAGCTACATTCAGACTATAAGACGCAGCCCAATTTCCTTTCAAATTTGGAGGGAAAGTGCATTTTATAGTCTGAAAAATACAGTATTTATAAACAGTACAGCCCACACAGACCCCAAGGCTCTCTTTCTTTACACCAGTGGTTTCCAAACTCAAATGTATTAGAATCACCTAGAGGACTGATTAAAACAAAGATTTCTGGTACCCTTCCCTAGAGTTTCTTTTTTTCTTTTCCTTAAAAACATTTTAAATTTTATTTCTTAACTTTAGAGACAGAGGAAGGGAGAGAGAAAAGAAAGAGGGGGAGAAGGAGAGAGAGAGACATCTATCTGGCGTTTCACTTATTTATGCGTTCATTGGTTGATTCTTGAATGTGCCCTGACCTGGGGATGAACCTGAAACGGCGTATGGGACGATGCTCTGACCAACTGAGCTACCCCGCCAGTGTAACACACTAGGGTTTCTGATTCAGTAGGTTGCAGAGAAGGTGAGAGTTGCATTTTTAGTAATTTCTTGGGTGGTGCTGATGCCACTGGCTTGGGGACCACACTTTGAGATCTACTGGTTTAAACGATCTCTGCCTCTGTTACTGTCTGCTTAGCTTGCTAATTTGGCCACCTGTGACTACTGCCTAACAAGGGAACCTGTTGTGATGAAAGGTCCTGGATTTAAGTGAAAATCTAAGGAGTGCTGTCTGCAGGTGTGACTCGCAACTTATCTAACATTTCCCTCCCTCCCTCCCTCCCTCCCTCCCTCCCTCCCTCCCTCCCTTCCTCCCTTCCTCCCTCCCTTCCTCCCTCCCTTCCTTCCTTCCTTCCTTCCTTCCTTCCTTCCTTCCTTCCTTCCTTCCCTCCTTCCTTCCTTCCTTCCTTCCTTCCTTCCTTCCTTCCTTCCTTCCTTCCTTCCTTCCTTCCCACCTCTTTTTCTAAGAGCTATTACTCTTTCTGCTCTGGCCCATTCATTCTTCTGAGAAACTCGGCCTGTTCTAAGGCTCAACCATCACTTCACCCTGGGGGGCTGCCCAGTTGCCCTGGCCAAGGGCGCACCTACCCCCGTAGCCTCCGTCGCTTCCGCCCGCAATGCAGGCCCCTCCGCCACCCTCGAAGCCGCCGGCTTCAGTCCAGCCAAGCGCAGCCCTGGCCGCTCTCCGCCCGTCCCCCTCCCGCAGTGAGCAGCCGGCCTGCGGAGAGGAGGCGCAGCTGTCCCCTCCACCCGCGGAGCAGCCGAAGGATGGCTGGCAGCACGCCCACCTCTCCGCGCGGCCCCGCGCCCTCTCCGGTCGCAGTGGAGCGGCTCTCCAGTTTCTCGGCGGCGGCCTGAGGCCCCGTCGCCTCAGGTGGGCCCTACAGCCTTCCCAGGCCGCCGCCCCAGCGGGTCAGCGGCGTGCCCTCCAGGCGGCGAGTGAGGACACCGGCGCTGGGCGACTGCTCGCACCCTGGGGCTGGAGTAAGAAAAGGGGCCACAGCCGAACCCAGGGACTTTGGGGCCCCAGGCCCGCGTGTAGAGCGCTAGGGTGTGCCCCCGCGGGAGAGGGTTGGGACCTCGACGCTGAGCGTTGGGGAGGGGCTCCCGGCGGCGGGAAGCTAAAATGTGCCGGAAAGCCGTAGGTGGTGCCTCCGCCCTCGCCATCACCCTGGCCCAGCGCGGCGACCCCTTCGGTCCCTCCTGTCGCCGCGTGCCCCTCAGGGGCCTGAGACTCTCCGAGGCAGACGGCGGGCTCTCCGGGCTTCTTGGCGTGGCGGGCGCGAGCCTGCAGGGCCCCAGGCACTCCCCTCGCGGCGCCGAAGGCTGAACACCGAGGAGCGCTCCCTCCCATCCCGCACCCTCGCCCCGGCGCTGGAGCCGCCCCTTCCCACCGGCTCCCTTGACTCCAGGGCGGGCGTGCTCTCCCCGCGGCCCAACGGGGATGTAAAGCGGCTCCTCAGCACCAGGCGGGAAGACGCCGCGCGCCTGTGACAAGTGGTTCTTGGCGCCTTTCGGCCCGCGACTCGGTAAACTGAGATCCTGCGGACGACCGTGGGTCCTGGGGCCGCCGGCCTGAGGCAGAGGTTGGTGACAGAGGCGGCTCCAAAATTTCTTATCCGAGGGACTTTGAAGCCATATTCCATTTTAAAGAGATGGGAGACTAGGTTTGCACACCATAAAATTACATTGTACACTTATTTAGGAGGTTTAAAGGAGATGGGGTGGGAGGAGGCTCAAGCCACCCGCCCCATGACTCCACCTCGGTTTTGGCTCCTCTGCTGGGCGGAACGAGCTTACGGGTGTGGGCTAACTCCTTGGCGGCTATTGTCGCCTTTCCGGAGTTCCGCTGGACCATGGGACAGTCAAGGTCACCGGGGCCGCACGTCAGCTGCAGAATACCCTAAGAGGCAATGTGCTGCGCCGGCGGCCTCACTTACCCTGACAGTAGCACCTCAGACTCCCAGGTCACCACCCACCTTTATTCCTGTTTCCCACTTACTGATACCCGCCCGGCGCCCCCCAGTGTCGGCGCCGTGTTGCTGCCTGCGTAAGCCCCATCTCACTCAGTGTGAGCTCGAGCCGTCCTTAGGCCCCGCAGGCGGACAACTGCCAAGGCCCCTCGGTGTCTAGGAGCAGAGGGGGAGGAAAGGATAATAGAGCAGCAGCTCCGTGGTGAGCGGAGAAGAAAGGAAGGAGCCTGGAGCGCACCTAGGGAGACCAGTGGAGAGGCTGGCTCTGAGCCTGCATGCTAGGCGGGGCCCTCGTGACGTCCGGGCCCTGGCGGGGACGAGGGTGGCAGAAAAGGAGCCTAGGATTCAGAGCTGAAGCAGAGAATGGCTCCTGAAAAGTGACAGGGAGGCAACGGGGCTGGGAGAGGAGGCAGCATGCTCATGGGGGACGGGAGATGAAGAGAACCTCCTGAGAGCTGGCTTCGCCTCCCTTGGCCCCGCCCCCAGCCCCGCCCACCCAGGGCGCACCGCGCCGGGAAGCAGGCGCCCACCCAACCCGCAGAATTCGGGCTGGTACTTCAGCAAGTTTCTCTCCGGCAGAGGCCCTCCCAGTGAATGACTTGGGAGTCGCACTGAGTTTGGCCCTGCAGCCTCCTCATCCTTTCCTCGACTTAGCGTGGTGTTCCGGCCCCCAGGCGGCACTGAGACCCCAGGGCCTGTGATCAGGAGCCTAGGATTCAGGCACACCGCGCCTTTCGGCCCGCATTTTGTAAGCACCCATTCCGAGTGCTGGGTTAGAGGCTTCTGAAAGAGCCATTGGGACCCAGTCTGTCGCGACCTAGGAAAGTGCCTCTGGCTGGACAGTTTCTTGACTGCCAGAGAGCACTTATCCGCAGCTCTGAGCCACAGCAGTTGTGGGTAGCGGCCCGTCGCCTCTTCCGCCTGCTGCTTCCAGGTTTGTAGGCTTAGACCCAACTCCCAGGGCCCAAATGAACTGCGATTTACAGGAGTGTCCAGACGCTTATTACACACCAACTGGCCCTAAAGCCGGCCTGACCACTCCCACCTCAGACTTTGGGATTTTGAAAGAGGAAAAGGCAGGTCGTCTGATCAGAGAGGTCCCTAAGCTTACTGGGAGAGCCTTGCAAAGCCCCCCACAAATGGACTCACAGTCTCCTGACTCTGACTTGCGCTGCCCCAGGGAATGGGATGGGTACCCAGTAGGGGAGGAAGTATCTCCAGTCTTTCGGAGCAGGATCAGGAAAAGGTGGGGCCACACCCCTGACACGAGACATGGGGCTTCTAGATCTCTCCTGCCAGGAGCAGTGTGTGTGTGGGGGGGAAGTGTACATTTCATTAGTGGTGGCCACTGTGATAACACATGGGAAGTGCTCTTTAAACTGCCCCAAGGAAAAAACAAACTGTCCCAAGAAAGGCAACATCAGTTGCTCTAACTTGTGTCTTTCGGTGACTTTGTGCCTGTAAGGTTGCACCTCCCGATACTCTCAGAAACATGGATCTCTGGGTTCACCTCACATAATTCCGTGCCAGTATTAACTCTGCGCACAACTGTAGTATGATGGTGTAAAGGCCTGAGCCCTGATGTTAGGTGCAAGTGCTGGTACTAGTACTGAATTTGTATCTCTGGTCAGTGGGTGATGGCACACTGTCACACCAGTTCTAAGACAGTTTCCCCACCATCTGCAAAAATCATAGGAAGAGACTGCTCTGTAATTCACAAGGCATCCCACAACTGTAAGGGCCAAAATCTTTATAGTTTTGTGTCTTCTTCACTTTTTTGTACAAAGTGCTAATTTTATAGGCTAAAGCTTGTGTTTAATATAAAACATTGGAAAAAAGCTTTAGTTGCCCCGCCCTGCTGTGGCTCTGTTAGTTGGAGTGTCATCCCTTAAACCATAAGGTCGTGGGTCCATTCCCCGTCAGGGTACTGCGAGTTTGGTCCTGGGTCCAGGGTGCTTACAAGAGGCAACTGGTAGATGTTTCTGATGTTTCCCTCTTGCTCTCTCTCCCCTCCCCTCTCTCTAAAATCACTAAACATGTCCTTGAGCTAGGGTAAAAAAAAAAAAAACTACAGTAGTTAGGTGCTTGGCAGTCTCTGTACAATGCTAAACATAGATACAACAGTGATTTTGTAAAACCCCTGGTACCCATGCCCTATTTAACTCTAGATATTCCACTATGAAGTCACAGAATTTACTTTGCAAGGTCTCTGTAAGCCAATGGTTCTCAAAGTGTGACTGAGTCAGGACAGCAGCAGCAGCATCACCTGGGAACTTGTTAGAAATGTAAATTCTTGGGTTTCACCCTAGACCTATTGAATCAGAAACACTGGTGTAGGGCCCAGCAATCTGCTTTAACACATTCTCCAACTGATTTTCCCCACATGATAAGTAACTATTGTTGTTTGCAGATACAGTAGTTGCTTAATAACAGCTCCTGTATAAAACTATGTTTAGTTCACTGGTGTGGCTCAGTGGACTGAGCACTGGTCCAAGAACCTAAAGGCTGCAGGTTCGATTCCAAGTGAGGGCACAAGCCTGAGCTGCAGGGCAGTGCTAAAGACTGAATGGTTGTGCCCCCGCCAACCCCTGCTAAAGCCAAATTTGTATGTTGAAACCTAATCCCCAGTGTGAGGGTATTTGGAGATGGGCCCACTGGGAAGTGATTAATCACTTCTTTGTGGTTGGAATGGGGCTAGTGCCCTTCTAGAGAGAACTCAGAAAGCTCCTTTGCCCCTTCTGCCATGTGAGAGCTGTCTAGGAACCAGGAAGCAGGCCCTCACCAGAGACCAAATCTACCAGCACCTTGATTTTGGACTTTCCAGCCTCCAGAACTGTAAGAAATAAGTATGTTTATAATAAGCCACCCAGTCTACGGTATCGTTAGAGCAGCCCAAACAGATGAGACAAATAGCTACTGCAATGGGCTGTTTTTGGCCTCTTCATGTCTCAGGACAGCAGTTGATGGAAACAGGGAACTGTAAGAAGAAAAGATGCTCACCTACTTCATTAAGGATACCTGCTCTTCAAGGGGACTGCTGAGAGTGTCCTTCCAGAAGTGAGCGCAACACCAAGAACATTGCCCTGGCCTGGCTCCGCTCCAGAACTAGGATCCACATTTTTGTTGTCTCCCCATGTGGACTGTTTTCACATTCCCCTGGTTCTTCCTCCTACATCTCTCCTGCTTCTCCCCTGGGATAGCCTGACCCTTGATACCACATCTGAAATCAGTCCAAATCAGACTCCCAGAAGAAAAATTTTTATTTCAACGCACAGCTATAGCGTTCATGTACCTTAGCCTGGGTCAGCAGGAGAGAGGAGTCTTGTCCCCAAGAGGGGATAAACAGCTAAGTCATCCTGCATTCCTAGGACTAATCCTCAGAAGGCCCACATTCTGAGCTCCAGGTATCAGGATATAATGGTAGGGCTGACCTGACCCTGCTCCAAAAAACTCAAAACAGCCTGCTTCCAGGAAGAGAAGCCTTCTGCTCCTGTCTCCTGCCCTCCCTTAGGACAGAAAGCACTCCATCTGGCCAGGCATCTGTTGGTGAACTCCAGGAGAACACATCCATCTCTTCAACCATAGCAGCTATACTCGGTCTCCGGTACCCCATTTTGGGGCATCCCTGAGGTCAGTCTCTGGAGGTACTGCTGACGCAGAAGGGGCAACTGGGGATACAGCTCAAAGCCCTCTGGAAGGGTAGAATTAGGAAGCTTATAGTGGAGGAGGTGCTGCCGGAGACCCTGCAGAGAGGGAAGAAACTTTATGAGGTGGGTACTGAGGTCCCGTTGAGATCTCTGTCCCCCAAGACCCACTACTCTCCCACCCTCCAGGATGTGCCTGACCCTACCTCATCTGCCAGCAACCACGTTTTCTGTAGCATGCTCCTGCGGGCAGCCTTCACCTCGTCCTAGAGACAGAAAAGGGAGAGGTGGCTCCGGGCCAAGGGCTGGTACCCCTCGCTGGCCCTCACTTCCTCTCCAGCTGGCCCAAGGGCAGTGCAATTGCAGGCTCCCTTCCTCCCTCTGGAGATGGGGCTGTAACTTACGGAACTCTTTGGGTCCTGGGAGAAGATGAAGCTGTTAATATGAGCCACAGTCACAGCATAGAGCACAGGACACCAGTGTGGACGGAGTGCACTGGTCACCAGGGCCCGGAAGTAGAGCTGGAGGAGGGCCAGGTTGTCTTCAGGAGGCTCTGTGTAGCATTCCAGGGACACAGGCAACTGTGACAGGGGAGACGAGATGTGCTGCGGATTCAATGGTCACCACTGGACAGTGGGGTTATGGAGGACTGTGATAATGTTCTTTTTAATTCTCAAAAAAAGTTTAGTGTTTTTTATATAAAGTATACATTTGTATTTTATATGTATATTAAAATATTTCTATTTTAAGTTTACCAGAATGTTATAAAAACAGTAGCTCCTTACAACTTATAAACTCCTTAGCCTGATATTTGAAGCCGTTTAAGACTTTATTAGCCTTGTTTCCAAGAAGTTCCCAAGCTGAAATGTACTCCAGACTCCTCCCTCTTCCCAAGCCGTCATACTCCTCTCTGCCTCGGCACTTTTGCTTATGCTGTTCCACTAGGTACATTCCTGGTCAATGCCTGGTCATTTCCCACTTCTTTCATAAAGCCTTCCCCTTATGGGAAGTCAACTTTCCCTTCTCTGACTCCTCACTTAACACCTAAAATCTAAATAATTTAAAAGTATCCTGGGATTTTAGTAGATCTCTTATCTGGATCACAGCACCTCACGAACAAGAGCCTGTAACCTGAACATCTACTATATGCCAGGTAACCTTTTCATGGATCCATTTAATCTCCTCAAAGCCTCCAAGGGGTAAAACAAAGAGCTGGAGGCACCCCAAAGCTCCCCACTGCTCACGACTGCCCCTGAGGCCCAGTACAGGATGCCCGTGATGGGCTCTGCTGGGTGAGAAAGTACCTGGGTCAGAGGCAGGCCCAGAGCTCGCAAGGCTCCCACGTGCTCCCCAAAGAGGGCGAGGCGCAAGCTGACGCTGAACCGACGCTGCAGGGGAAAGAGTACCACAGCCCCAAAGAGGTGGTCCCCAAAAGAAACAGCCTCAAAATGCTCCAGGAAGTTGGCATACAGGTCAGGGAAAGATGCCAGGCCAGGAAGTGGGCAATCCAGGTTGAGTTTTTGTAGGACTTCAGGCTGGCAGAGCCGGGCCAGGAGGGCTGCCACCAGACCCTGTATCGGGGTCTCCCGGAACAGTTCGCTGTCCACCAGGAACACACACATGAGCCGTGCCAGGCGGGCAGCAGGGGGCACAGCCCAGAGGGCCTGGGGGCGCCAGCTCTCCAGGACTAGCACCCACTGCAGGGCCCGCATGGCTATGCCCACAGCATCAGCAGTGGGGACCCCTGAGGGGGCGTCTGAGGCCTGGTGGTAGAGGTGAACCAGTGGCAAGAAAGGCCAGTCGGTGGGCAGCAAAGGCTCCTTAGGCAAGGGGAGCAGCAGAGCTGGGATTCGCTGTAGCTCCCCTCGGTACAAGGCCTGAGAGGCTTTTAGGCTGGGCTGGGCCAGTGAGCAGTGGGTCAGGTAGCAGCTGCGAATGCTGGGGAGGTCCTGGCAGGCCTGGGCCAGCAGAACCCCTCGCCCACACCCAGGGTCCTTGCTGCTCCCTAAGGATAGCTGGTCAGAGAAGTCTGCTGCTTCTGGGCCTCCTGCTGCTCTTTCCCTGTAACAGAACCCGAAAGCCACAAATAAGGGCTGGAACCACAGCACCCAGAAGTCCATGCCAGCCTTCCAGGGCTTCCCAGAGGTCCTAGGTGCTGCCAGTTCCCCTAATAACTTTCCATGTAGTATGTGTGACAGTTAAGAGGGTAGACACTAGAGTCAGCTGCCTGGATGCAAGCTTATAGAACTTCTCTGTACCTGTTTCCTCACAGTAAAATGGCTAAACAGTAAATCCACTTATCAGGGTGATCACTTTGCAAGGTATGTAATGTCTAATCAGTATGTTGTACACCTGAAAGTAATATAATATTGTATGTCAACTGTAGTTGGAAAATAAAAAATTTTAAACAGCAATACCTATGTCATGGTACAGGTAAAATGCAGTCAAGTACTTAAGGGAACACCAGACACAGAGTAAGCACTCTGTAACTGTTGGCTGCTGCCCATGTACAGCTAGTTCATATACTACTATACAGTCACAACAAAGTCTCATAATAATTCTCCAGTGTGTTTATTCTCAACTCCATCTTACTAATGAGGAAAGGGAGGCTCAGGCAGGTTAAACGTAATTCATGGAAGAAAGAGAATTAATTAAGCCCAGGTCTCCTAGCTCCAAAGTTAGGGGTGCTCTGTCAACAAACAACCACAGCCCCCCCTCAAAGGGCTGAGGTGATGCCACCAAACCTGGACTTACGGGAGAAACTCCAGCCGGAATACACAGCTCAGCAGTAGCTCATGCGCAAGGTGCTCGCTTCCGGGCAGCAGCCGGCTCAGCAAAGCCAAGGCCACGCCATGATGGAGGGCAGCACTGGTGGCTGGCACTGGCTGGAGTGTTGCCTGTGGACAGAAGGCGGAGGGCCAAGGGGTTGAGAGGGGACAAAGCAAAGAGAAGTGAGGACGAGGACATAAGCAAAGAGGGTGTGTGCTAAAGGGCACGTGTGGAGGAAAGCAGGAATGGCATAGCCTGCCAGTAGCAGCACAGGTTCCAGAGAAGCAGGAGGGCAATAATGTGGGGAGGAGGGAGGAGATTGAGGTATGGGGGTTGGAGACACCCACCACTCTCTGAGCCAGGACGAGTGCCAGATACTGCAGGTGGTACTCATGGCGTAGGGCCCACACTGAGAAGGCTGTGAGGGGCGGGGCAGCCCCAGGAGCCAAACACTGGAGGAAGTAGTTCTGGAGTCCTGGGGCAGCCAATACTGTAGCCAGCTGAGGAAAAGCAAGCTTGTTCAGATGTAGAAGGCAACTCTGATCCTTTCTGGGGTACCCAGGTGGCTGCTACCTCCCCAACCTAACTCAGAAAAATGGGTGCTGGAAGAAGCCTCTTTTTTCCAAGGGGCGCCCTCCCCACTTTCTTTCTGACTCCTGCCATATTGGCCCCCTGCCTGGAACCTAACCAGGAGCCTAGGGCTCACCTGGCCACATAGCCCCTTGTGGATCCGGGCCAGGGTGTTGAAAAGACAGAGGAGGGAAGTGAGGACCGGGAAGGGTGAGGCTGAACCAGCAAGACTGAGAGGGGGGCAACCTCCCGTGCAGCCCAGTGACACGAGGCTGCGGAGAGCTTCGGGGGCTGGAGCACAGGACTGTGGGTTGCAGAGGAGAGAGCAGCGCCTGCAGGCAGAATGAAGAAGTTGAGGGGCTCTAGCCTGATGTGTGCCAGGCTGGGAGAGGCAGGGGCTTGGCTGTGCAGACAGTGCCCACCTTCCTTAGAGCCTCCAACTGATGCCCGCTCAGGAGTCAGATTTCCTTCTGGCTCAGGGCTTCCACCCGGAATGGACCAGGGAGCTAGATTCTGGAACCCCACAGGAGAAGAACTGCCTCTGCCACAAGTACACCCACAGTACCTACCTGAGGGAATCCCACAGGCTGCCCAGAGCGGGCTGGCTCAGCAGGGGCAGCAGCAGCTCCTCTGACAGGCGCTCTGTGTCCTGAAGCCAATCCTCTGGGCACAAGTCCGGCTGGAAAACCAAGGGGCTCACTGAGCTGATGGTCTAGGACTCCCATTCTCTTAACCATGTGTACCCAGGCCAAGCCTGTAATGCCAAGAGCTCAAAAGGGTCAGTATTTGGAGGTTCCTGCCTTCTGACCCTTGTGGAGAGAGAGAAAACCCTGAGGTTGCTCTGGCACTTGAGGTCTAGGGGGCCTGGGAGAGCATAAAGGCTCCGTGGAGGCTGAGCTTTGGGGTTCTTGGACTCTTTGGAAGCTCCACTGGGTATGGAGGTGGAAAGAGGACGAAAGGTAGGAAGGGAATGGTGGAGAGTAGAAGGGGAATGGGGAGACAGGAGTGGAGAGATGAAAACAGAGAAAGAAGGAGTGTTAAGGTGAAAGCAGGGCCTCCTGGGCACAGGGCAAGGCAGGAGGGCGACACTCACCTGCCGGCTCCAGGCCTGGTAGTAGGCATCCAGGAAGAGGAGGCAGGCAGTGGGCACCGGGCCCAGAGCACTCCACATCTCAGGTCTGGGCAGCAGCTTTAAGGTCTGTCTTAGACATGGCTCCACAAGAGGTTGGAGCCCAGACACCTGTGCCCAAGTGACCAAGGAAGGGGTGTCCAACAGACTGGCCTTAGCAGAGTCACTACAGGAAAGCCAAAAGGGGCCACAGTGAATCTCTGGCTGCCCTGACTCCCCTCGAAGCTCTAGCCACCCTCTCCCTAGGGAGGAGCTCTCCTGCTTCTCTCAGAGCTCCTGGTGGGAAGTCCCTGATGGCACCTCAGGGCTATTGCCTACCTGCTGGGTTTGCAGGTAGTGCTGCTGGCTGCCAGGGTCAGCTGGGTGAGGACAGTGAGCAATGAGGCTATCCGTTGCATGGACAGGGGCTGAGGGAGGTGGACGCTGAGCTCCTTTGGCATAACCTGCAGGGCCCCGATCAGCACTGGGTATAGCTCCCTGGGGAGAACAATGACTGCCTTTGAGTGCAGAAGAGAGATAGAGACGTAAGATGCAAGGCAAGGCCTGCCCAGGGATCTGCAGTCTAGTTAAAGAGGATCAGAAGGCAGAGGTCCCAGGCTGGGTACTCCTGGTCAGCTTCAAGGGGGAAGGAAGGTTGGGGGCCAAAGGGAAGGAGGTGGCCCTTCAGGCTTCCCCCCAAAAGGGAATTTAAATCTGATTTATACCAACGCTGTTGTACACAGAATGTAAACAATATTCTATGGATGGCACAGACTTCGTTCCCCTCTCCCCTAGCTGGTCATTATTCCCAGAATCCCCTCTTCCTCATTTTCAGCCTCCCTCCAAGCTTGAAACCTTAAGCAAGGCTGAGTTATCAGTTTAGGCAAGGGTGCAGAACTGGAGGGGTCTCCCAAGGAGCCTACCCCTTGTTTTTCCTCACCTGTAAAGGTCACCGCCCTGGCCATAGGAGGCTGCTACAGCCCACAGACGGAAGGCCTCAGTATTCAGCATCTCAGCTTCCTCTGGGGGCAAGGTCAGTTCCTGGGGAGCCTCAGCTATGAAGCGGCACAGGCAGCTCCGGAGATCAAAGCTACTCAACTGAGAGTGGACAGAGTCTGGGGATCAGGATCAGAGCTGGGGATAAGGGTACCCAGTAGCCTCAGGTTCTTTCATTATGGAGACTGGCTCAACTGAGCCCTGTTCAGAGCCCTCTGGGGCCACAGGGTCATAGCTCTGGGCCAGGGTGAAACTACCTCTTCTGTCTCTCTCTCCCACCCTGCCCTCTCCTCTCCTTTTTAGCAAGCACTTGCTTGGCACCTTTTCAAAGGCTACTTGGCTGTGGGTGATGTGTGCCTTCTGTATGTGGCTCCTCTGGGCTGGGAGCCTACCCTTCACGTAATGAGAACACAGGAGATCTAGAGAGTATAATAAGCTCCGGGTGACTAGGCTCCTGACTGGTGGTTTTTGTTGTATTTCTGAGCAACAGAATGAGACGATGAGGAAGATGGAATGAGCAGGGCCCAAGTCCAGGGACCATGCTTAGCCCCCAGCCCCACCCCTGCCCTGTGTCCTGCTCACCAGCCGGGCAGCAATATTTCTACCAGCTGAGGCCAGGACACGAAGCAGCTTCATAGCAGCTGCACAGGGTACTTTGTGTAGACTGGGGGTAGGCCCTATCCCGATGGGGGACCAGCTGGTGGGCAGGAACTCTCGAACCACAGTCTCAATCAGCCGAGGGCACTCTAGGACCTGTGGGGGGCAGGAGAAAAGGGAGGTAGGGAGGCTGAGGGTCAAGACCAGGCCCACCTACGTTCTTTGCCCATTCCCTGTCTCTTTCTCACCCTTGTGGCTGACTCCAAAGAATGCCGGGCCAGACGGATGAGCACGGCCAGGATGTCAAGGACCACAGAAGGTCCTGGGCAGGTGACCTCTAGCACATAGCGCAGCCGAGGCAGCAGGTTGGTGGCCAACAGCCCCTGGAGGTTAGAGAGATAAATGCACTGCCAAATGCAGCTGGGCCCAGGCCTTGATGACTCCTCTTGCCTACCATGAGCATGCCCTGGAGGTCATGGGACAGACGCAGCTGTCCCAGCATCTTTACCTTGATGACATCGTGTCGGGCCAGGTCAGATGGAGGCCGGTTTCCTTCCTCAGGGCTCTTCTTTTTTGCCTTTTCTCCTGAAGGCTCTTCGTCTTCATCTTCATCCTCCTTGTCCTGCTGGCTGGGCATCAGAGGGAACACCAGAGCTCCATGGTACCAGGAGAAGGTGCTGTCAAGGAGCTCCTTCCAGAGGAAAGAGGATAGGGTAGGAAGAAGAGGGAAAGCCAGGAAGTGGGTACAGGAGTAGTGAGTGGAAGGATCCACTAAGAGAAAGGCAAGGCTCTGGGCTTCAGGGCTTTTAGGAGAAGAGGGGGACGCTTCCATCCCATTCTCTGCTCTGCCTGGCAAAGCCTCCACCATGAAGGCATGCCCAGTAGGAGGAGTAGGGACCCTGAGACCTCAAAGCCCATTCATATCCTGGTTATACCTCATCTCCAGGAACCACTAACAGAGCTCGAAGAGCTCGAACAGCAGCCGCGATGACCCCATCCACTCTATCATCCAGGGAGAAGCGCAGCAGGAAAAGGAAACCAGCATCCAAAAGGAGGTGCAAGACGCTGCCTGCTAGCCGGTCCCCAAACTCACCGGCCTGGGCCTGGGGGGCAGGAGGATAAAACTTTGCAGGAGAAAGTTATATAGTCTTTGTCCTAAACCCTTCATTTGCCTACCCATGACCTTGGGTTGGTCCCGTTCCCAGTCTGACCCATAGATGGTTGGTGTTTGGACTCGTGAGCCAGTGTGAAAAGGGCAGGAGGTAGGAAAGTCTAAGGCTGCCAGGCGAGGAGTGGGGGTGGGCAGCACCCAGCCAGCAGTCCACTCACCCTGCTGATGACCTGGGCCAACACGTGCAGTGCTAGCGCTCTCTGCTGGGACACCTGGCTGCGCGTCAGGTGGAACAGCTCCTGTAGGGAGTACCCTGCTCTCTGGGGCAGGGACAAGGAGTCAGAAAGAGCCAAGATACAGGGCAGTACCCCCCATATGCCAGGCACTGAGTTAGGAGTCAAGGGGAAGACAAAAATAAGTAATAGCTCTTGCCATGCTGCTCTCCGTGGATCCTCAAACTGGTAAAGATATGATTTGCATACAAGTAACCATGACATAAGGAAGACTTGGAGGAACATAGTAATCAGTGTTTAATTTGCAACCAGAGAACAGGAGCAAGAGAGAGAAAGAGAGAAGTGGAAAAGTGATATGGTCTTAGTCGGCGGGTAAAGCTTCTTTGATGGCCTGGCCTAGAGCACAGGGTAAAGGCATTCCCTGGAGCAGGCTTTAGGAACTGAATCCTGGAGGTCCTTAGGCAGAAAGTGTGTGCAGGGAGAGGGCACACAGTGGTACAGCAAGAGTGAAGGAGCCAGAGGCAGACTGTGGAAGGACTGTCTTGTGGGGCTGAGGAGCCAACACCTATTCTTTGAGCAGAGGGGAGCCAGGAAACTTTCTGAGGCAAGGCGAGGCATGGCCCGAGCTGGACCAGAGGGGATCAGTGTGGCAGCCCCATAAGGCATGGGATGGAATGGCTTGGCAGAGTGGAAGACATGGTGACTGAGCAGACAAGAGAGAACAGGGATCTTATGTAGAAAGCATCGGAGAACTGGCAAGTTCTGGCAACTGACTGGAAAGTGAGGGAATGAGGAGAAGATTTCGAGCGAGGAGCCTGAGTGGACAGCGAGACCATGAACTGGATTAGGGCACACAGGAGTCCTAGGCATCTGGCCAGAGGTCCTTTGCTACGTGGTTATTAAAAGCTGCCCAGTCCTCCCTGGGTGCCATGCCTCACCTCTGCCTCCTCTCCATGGTGGTGCAGTCCCAGATGAGTGGGTAGGTCTACGTCGGGAGCCAGTAGCTCTCCCTGAAGACTGAATCGGGCCTGCATCCTCTAATGGGAAGAGAAAGAGGACTATGCGCTGGGGCCAGCAACAATGTCTCCATACCCATTCTTCATCCATAATTCCAGCCTCTTAGGATTTAGGTCCTGATTCTACTCCTTGTTAGAAATGGGCTCCTCTGACCTATGATGCCAGGAGGTGAGCACAAAGAAGAGGTATTTCTCAAGCTTTGGGGGAAGAAAAGGGCCTGAGTTCTGGGGCCAAAAGCCGCAGCCCACTCTCACCCGGCTCCGGCTGAAGGCCAGGGGCCTTCCTTACCTCCTGTGTCTGCTGCCGCCGGAGTGGGGGCAGGTCCTGGGTCCAATGGAGTTTGTCCAGTTCAACAGTGTCCATGTGCAGCCACTCCTTGTTGGGGGCTACAGGCAGTGCCAGAGCTAGGGAGATGGAAGCAGAGTAGTATACCCTAAGGGACTCAGCTCACTGACCCACTGGTGTCCCAGCCATCACCCCATGGCTGCCACGTCCATCTCTACCCAAGGGTCTGGCAGCCTCTGCCTTCAGCTGTGGCTAAATGACACGGCCCAGAAGCTGGACTCCTGGGAACTGGGCGAACATTTTAAATATGGCAGAACACACCCCATTCCTGGGCTCCAGCCCCTATCTGACCCCAAGGGTTTGTTGGGAGGGGAAGGAGGAAGAGGAGAGGTTAAGGACGAGAAGAGAGAGGGAGGAGAGGAGGAAGGGAGGACCACATATATCAGGGAAAACAGTTCTCCACTGCCTAGTACCAACTTCTTAAAAAAGCAGAGAAGTAGGGACAATGAAGAGGGAGCAGCTATACTGCTTCAGGAAGGCAAGATACAAAAACACACACCCACAACATCCAACATCCTCTTCCTTTCTCACCGCAACCCCCACCCAACCTGCTCAGCTGGCCTGGAGCTCATCCAGGGGCAGAAGGGTCCTGGCTCTCATAATTCAATTTCTTCTTTTGTTAATCACTAATAAAATAATCAAATTCCTGGGAAATGAGTGCTCTCACTGGCCTCTATGCTTCAGGTCTGGCATGTTCATAAGACCTGCGTCACTCTTCCCCACCACCCTGGCCCTGCCATCTCTCTCCACTCCCACCCCCACCCCCAGAGCAGGGGCAGAAAACTGGGATGGGTGGAGCCACAGCTGGAAGGGCGAAGATGGTCTGCCAGGGGAGGGGGCCATTCAGCCACCACACACTGCAGATAAAGAATGATTTCAGTACAACAATGAGGATTCATGTTAGGGGCTCAAGGACAGAGAAGATTCTCTTTTCTCAACTACCAGAAGGAATACTCTTCTCTACTTTTATTGACAAAAAGATGTCCCCTCCATCTCCTGCAAACCTGGGACTCCTGGCTCCGGCTCCTCTTCCTGCCTGGCTTCACTGGAAGAAGTCAGCATAACGGGCTCTTTTCCAACAACCTCTATAGAGGGTCCTCCTGGCCTCTGCTCCTCCGTGGCCTTTTCTTCTGCTTGCTCACGGGTGCAGCTGTGAGATCTCAAGAAAGCAACCAAGCTGGGATCTAGAAGAGAGAGGGAGGATCTGGCTTCACCATTCTCACCATGGTGAGGGCAGATCCTCTCTAACCTCCTCTAGACCTGAAACCTGAATACTACCTGCCTACGGATGACAAGCCAAGCCACTTGCCAGCCCTGGCCTGAGCGCCCTGCGCTCTCCTGGAACCTGCCTGCCTGACCATCCTCCATCCTTCAGTCCCCTGGCCCAGGTTTACGCCCATCCCTGTGCTTGGCTCCAGGTCATGGACCCAAAGTAAGTGGCTGTGGGGAAAAAAATGAATAAATGTTGACTAGGGCAAAAGAGAAGGCATTTAGAGGAACAGTCTCTCTCACTTTTAGCTAATTTATTTATGCATAAATCTTCACTAAAAGCCTAATATATGCTGTGTACTATATAGGTGCTAGATATACAGTTTGGAACGAGATGGGCTTGGTGCACAGAAACTAGGAGGGAGGTATAGTATAGTGGAACATCATATAGTGGAGCACACTGCAGCCATACTAGAGAACAGCTATAACACAGCACCTATTACACTAGGATATTACAGTGCCCACAGCAGAGTGGTTAGACCAGGGCCCGAGAGACCACATGGATGTGGGTTTACATTTCATCCATGTTCCTTACCAGCTGGGTGACTTGGGGGAGAATTTCTCAAAATTATGAGCCTCAGTTTTTTCTTTCTTTTTCATAAGTAAATGAGGTTAGTAGAACCTACCTCACAGGACAGTTTGAGGACAGAATGATATAACACATTCAAGAACCCAGCATGATGCCTAGCAATCATGGTAAGCTTTTCTCAATAAGGGACTGGCCCTCCTTAGCTCAGTCTCAGCAGGAAGCCAGGTATTCATACCGAGCTGAGCCAGCAACCTCTGCTGTTCCTGCAGGATCTCCTCAGAAGTCATGGCTTGAAGTCTTGCTACGTTCTCTTCATGGATGGTCTGGGCTTCCTGCTCAGGCTCCTGGCCCCTGAGCCCTTTCCCTGTGACCAGATGGGGCCCCTGGAAGTTGTGGCTGCCCCATGGAAGCTGGTGATACTTCTCCCTGGGTGTGAGGGACTCACAGGTCACAGCACCTGGAAGAAGTGTATAATCAGTTTCATTGCCTCATACCAACTGGGCTTTTTGGCCCTCTTTTCCAGTCCCTTTAGTCCTGGAGACAGCTGGAGGCCCTAGAGCTTTCCTGGGCACAGGGTGGAGACCCCCACCTCCACCCCCTACTCCTTCTTTCCCCTGGATTTATATGAGGAAGTTTCCCTTAGACACACCCTACTTTCCGACTCTTCTCACAGATGTTCAAGCTACTATTTGCCTCCAGGTCATGACCCCAGCTGTCCTGCTGGTAATCTGCATCATTAAAGGAACCATGGCTTCTGTCTTTATTTTACAGTCTCTGCCAGACACTTCTATCCTCTCCCTTGGCCTGCCCTCTTCCTGCACCTAAGACCCAGATACGGACACAAGCCACCCACACTTCATACTCTAAGGGAGGATATGGGACAGCGTCCTCTTTAGATGGCTCAAATGCAATTGATATTTGAGGCAGGGAACAGCACCTGGAAGAAGTATATGATTCAAAGACGACTTTATGATCATGCATCACAAAAAAGCCAAGCCCATGCCTCTTCCACCTCAGCTCACCCTCTGGGGGGTCCACAGTAGACACAACTCCTCTACCTGGTGGGACACTGGCTTCAGACACTCTCCTTGCTGCAATTTCCTGGGCAAAGATGCTTCTCTTACCAGATACTGTTGGCTTCCTCTATGGGGTAAAAAGAAAACAAGGATGACTGATATTCACTTTCCCATTCTCTTCTCAACCTCTTTATACCAAAGTCACTGGAACAAGGACATAAAAGGGAATTGCTTAATCTCGAAGGATCACAACCCTAGTGTTCAGAAAAAGAAGAATATTATAGGAGCAGAGGTCTTAAAGTCTGACAGACCTGGGTTGGATTTCTGACTCTTCTTATCTATTAGATATGTAGTGTTGGTCAAGTTATTTATCTTTTGGAGGAGGTCTCAGTTTCCTCACTTGAAAAAATGGGGATAATGTTACCCACCTTACATGGTTATTATGAGGATTAAATGAAGTAATGCATATAAAGTGCTTAGTATGGTGCCACTTTAACAACAGAGTTATTTATCATTATTAAGATTAACAATCTGGCTCTGGCAAGGTAGTTCAGTTGGTTAGAGCATCATCCTGATACACCAAGGTTGTGGGTTTGATCCCCAGTATAGGCACATACAAGAATCAACCGATGAATGCATCAGTAAGTAGAACAACAAAAAAGTCTGTTTTATTCTCTCTCTCCCCTTTCCTTTCCCTCTCTGAATCAATAAATAATTTTTTTTAAATTATCAATCTGGGAAGGATGCACTATGAGACTATGAGGCTCACCTGACTGAACCCTAAAGCACCATCTAAGGTTACTCCTGCCTACCTGTCTCCCCTGTGAGCGATGGAATACAGGGGGGAATGCAACACCACTGGGCACAGGCAAATTCACAGCCACTGAACTTGTATCTCGTTCCTGCAGCAACAGAGCACAAAGGAGTGATAAAATTGAGATTTCCCCAGGCTGGAGTCTATCCCAGCAGTCCCAGTTCTGTATAATTAGAACCTCACTCTAGGAAGTAATACACCCACCTTGCTTTTTAGGGCACAGTGATTCTACATTTGATCTTAGCCAAAAGGCCAAGAAGTGATGGGGGACAGTGATTCTAAACCAGCCCCCAACCTGACTGTAGGTCCCACCCTTCTAAATCATCCTTTACTCATAAGGCCCACCACCCCCACCCAATGTCGATGCTGCCCTAGGATGCCTTGTCCCACTCAGCCAGGGTAAGACGCACAATAATCTTAGTCAAGACAGCAGTGATGTGCTGATCATGCCTGTTCAGCCTCTCCTCAGCGTCCTCGTTGTCAGCCAGGGAATGGCCAGGGCTAGGCTTGGCTCTTTTAGGGGGGGCAGGAACCAAAGCTGGGGGCAAATCTGGGAGACCTGGGAGAAAGAAAAAACAACCCAGATGGTAGGATGTTCATATATTCCCAGGAAGAGTCTGAGGGCTAGGGGAAAGCCAAAGAAAGTCAGCTGCTGGGGGGCCCTGGCTCAAGCTGTGTCACCTTAGGCAAAATCTTTACCTCTTCGAGCCTCGGTTTCTTTCTATGTAAAATGGGGTTGCAGCAACAGTGGCTATGCAGTGTATGAAATAATAATGGGTAGAATCCAGCCACAACAGAAAAAGGAAGGAGATGCTCAGGCAGTACCCTCTCCTTCTCAGCCTCACACCCACAGCCACTCACTGTCCAGCATCACTGTATCCCGATGATCCTGCAGCAGAGGCTGGTCCAGGTTAGCATTGGCACTTCTCCTACTTCCTTTCTTCACCAATTGTACTGCTGGGGCTGCACCAGCTGCGAGAAACTGACTCTGGAATCGGAGCAGGTCCACTTCAGACTCCCCTGGCTTTGGTCTCGACAACATCTTGACACTCCAAGAGCCTCCCCAGTGCAGCTCTTTCCAGCACTGTTTCGGTGTAGGGACTCCCTCTCATTCACTCCTAAAAGCAATAAAGATGGGCCTTCTTTAAGTGAACCCTGGTTCTTTCTTGTTGTGCATCAAAGAAGGCGTTTTTCCTTGCCAACTCATTCCTCCTCATTTATGCCTTCTTGCCATTCTCTCCCTATTTAGCCCTGCCTTATGCCGTCAGCCTAGCAACAATATTTATTGCCAACTTAAGCTGATTACAACCTGTGGATAACAAAGTCTCGAGGAACTAAGGAAAATGTTACCAGGACCCAGAAGGGGAGTGCAGATTCTGTATCAAACTGGCAAGAAGATGCCTGGCCTAAAAGTACTGAATTAATAAACCACTTCGAGATGTAAAGAACCGATATATAAAAATCACTTCTAGTTTTATACACTGTCAAAGAACGATAAGAAAATTAAGAAAATAATTCCACTTACAATAGCATCAAAAAGAATAAGATATTTAAGAATAAATCCCACCGAGGACGTAGAAGTCTTGTACACTGTGGGGCCCCACAACTCCGCGTAGGGCTCTATGGTCGCGCGTGCTCTCGGACCACCCGTGTCAGCAAAGAGAAATCACGTAGTTTCAGCCTACGCTGCCGGCCGATGTAGAGAGGGCCGTGACCGGAATCTCCACACCGAAGTGGCCTCAGCCGCTCCTGTGCAGTCCAAACACATTCCCGCAGGCTCTGACAAAGGAACTGAATACTCTGCAACAGAGCCCTCCACGGAGATCCCCTGAAGTCCGTCTCTCCAGACCAATGAGCCACTTACTCGCTGTTCCACCGCCTGGGGGCCGCCATCTTGCCCCGCACTGGGCTCGTTTCCGCCACCTCCAGATTTGAGCTTCCGCCCCGCAGACGGGCTCCGCCTCTTTGGGCCTGGCTCCACCCGCTCCGGGGTGTGTGGGCTCAGCTTTAGGGAACACCTGAGCGGTAAAGTACTCGGCTTGCAGTGTACCCGCCACGTGAGTTTTGTGCTGACATACCACATCCTTCAGTGTACAGTAGGCACGGGTCCTTCTTCACATACAACACCCGCGACAGAGGCAAAGCGCGGACATTCTCACTAGCGCGGATAACCCAAGCTGCAGGGATGGTGTGCTGAGAAGAGAGAGGACAGAAGCCTCACTGCCCTCAAGGCGATCCCCTTCGTGAGCATTCTGCCTTTGATAGCCAGTGTCCATTATTGGAAATTTTCCTTCTACGCCCAAAGTGTTTCTCTTAAGGCCTAGCTGGAGTCAACTGTAAAACCTTGGCTAACCTGGCTACTCACTGAACTTCTCTTGGAACCTTGTGTGGCATGTTGGGAACTATCACTAGTTACCTTTTCGCAAGCATATGTTTTGTACCCTTCCATAGACTGTGAGTTCCTTGGGGGCATCCGGCCTTCTTTTTTGCGTCCGTAACGCTCAGCACCCACCGCATTGCCTTGCACATAGGACCTTAGTCAATCATTGCCATCTTAGGGCAGCCAATAATTATGAGTCCAGTGGTACTTAAACTTGAGCAGGCACCAATCACCTGGAGGGCTTGTTAAGACGGATTGCTGGTCCTTGCTGGTGTGCTCAGTTGGTTAGAGCGTGGTTCAGTGACCAGGGAGGGAGGGCGGGTCTCAGCTTAAATTCTGATGGGGCAAGTGCCTGAGTTGTGGATTCCTCTTCTTCAGGCACGTAGAATATTTGTCACGTCGATGTTTCTCTCCCTCTCTCCCGCCCTCCTCTCCCTTCCTTACCCTCTCTCTAAAATCAATAACCATGAACTCGGGTGAGGATTAAAAAACAAACAAACAAAAAACAGATTGCTGGACCTCATCCTCAGAGTTTCTGATTCAGTAGGTCTGGAACAGGACCTGAGAATTTGCACTCCAGCGAGTTTTAGAACCCTTTTTTGGTTCTGAGAGATCTCAACTGCAGCAGTAAATTTCATCTACTGGGATTTGGCCAAACTCAGAGTCCAAAATAGTACTGGACCTGGTCACAAGTTATGAGAAACGAGGGAGGGGAACTGGAGCCAAAAATGTAGGAAGAATGATAGTAGAAAATCGTTGTTTGAACCACTAATGATATAATCACTCCAGGCAATGTTCATTAATGGCTGATAAAACTATTAAATGAAAGGTCAATTAGGTTTTTATATGGATAGATCAGGTTACCAACTCGTGAATCTACTGATGAATCTTTTTTAAAAAAGATTTTAGCCCTGGCTGGTGTGGCTCAGTGGATTTAACGTTGACCTGTGGACCAAAGGGTCACCAGTTTGATTTCCAGTCCCGGTACATGCCTGGGTTGTGGGCCAGGCTCCCCTATGTGGGGCATGCGAGAGGCAACCACACATTGATATTTCACTCCCTCTCTTTCTCCCTCCCTTCCCCACTCTCTAAGAAGATTTTATTTATTTACTCTTAGAGAGAGGGGAAGGGAGGGAGAAAGGGAGGGAGAGAAACATCAATATGTAGTTGAATGGGGGAGTCTAGTCCACAACCTAGCCATGTACCCAGACTGGGAATTGAACCAGCGCCCATTCCACTGAGCCACACCAGCCAGGACTGAATCTACTGATGAATCTTAACATCACTGAAAAGGGGATCACTGGACATAATATGCTTCATGATGTGATACAGTTGTAAATACAAAACACTTCTTCAGAAGGCTACATGACAAAAATTGAATCTAGCCAAGCATCTAGATCTAGCTATCAAACTTCAGGAAATATGGGCAGGAGAGGAATGTGTTAAATGATAGCACAAAGATACAATTAAACAAATCCAGATTGTGGGAAGTTCTCTCTCTCTCTCTTTTTAAGATTTTGTTTATTTTATTTTTAGAAAAAGGGGAAGGAAGGGAGAAAAACATTCATTAGTTGCCCCTTGCTCACCCCCAGGCATGTGTCCTGGCCTAGAATCAAACTGCAATCTTTCAATTCTCAGGCCAGTGCTTGATCCACTGAACTATACCTGTCAGGGTCAGATTGTGGAAAACTATTCAAATTTCTTCTATACATTTCATATCCAAGTGAGAAAGAGATTATCTATTAAATATATGGTCCTTGTTTGTATACTGATTCAAATAAACCTACTGTAAAAATTTTTTGAGACTGCTGGGAAAAACTAAATACAAACTGAGTGCAATATGATATTAAGCATTTGTTAAAAATTTATTGGGTATGGATGTGTTTTTTAAAATAACTTTATTTTAGAATAGTTTTAGATTTACAGAAAAATTGCAAAGATAGTTTCCATTTATCCTACACATAAGTTACCCTGCTATTAATGTCTAACATTAATATGGTACTTTTTTTTCAGCATTAATGAACCAATATTGACATATATTACTAACTAAAGCCCACACTTTATTCAGATATTGTCAACTTTTCCTAATGTCCTTTTTCTGTTTCCCCAACCACATTATTTAGTTGTCAGTCTCCTTAGGCTCCTCTCAGCTGTGACAGTTTTGTGGACTTTGGTTTTTGATGACTTGGACAGTTTAAAGTAGTACTGATATTTTTAGAATGTCCCTCATTTGGGTTTTTTCTGATGTTTTTCTCATTATTAGATTGGGCTTATGGGCTTTTAAAAAATATTTTGTTTATTTATTTTTAGAGAGATGGGAAGGAGAGTGAAAGAGTGGGAAACATCAAGTGGTTGCATCTCGCACGCCCCCTGCTGGGGACCTGGCCTGCAACCCAGGCATGTGCCCTGACTGGGAATCAAACCAGTGGACCTTTTGGTTTGCATGCTGATGCTCAATCCACTGAGCCACACCTGCTGGGGCAAGACTGGGTTATGGGTTTTGGGGAGGAAGACCACAGAGCTAAAATGCCATTTTACAAGGGTAGCTACTATCAACATGACTTGCCATTGTTTATGTTAACCTTACTCAACTGGCAGAGGTAATGTTTGTCGGATCTCCAACTCAAAAGTTACCTTTACCTCACGGTGCTCCATCCTGTCCTTTCTGAGAAAGCAGCCACTTTGTGCGGCCCCCAGATGAGGATGGATTTATGATCCATCTCTCTGAGTGAAGTATCTACATAAATTATTTGTAATTCTTCCTTGTGGGAGCTTTATCTACAATCCCTATTTGTTTTTTATTCCAACATATACTGATATTTGACCCTTTGACATATGCCATCATTGTGTGTGTTCGGGTTTTTGTTTCTGTTTTGGGGCACTTTCTTACTTTCTGGGACTATAAGATGCTCCAGGCTCATCTTGTATATTTCCTGCCCCAGTCCTAGAATCAGCCATTTTTCCAAGGACTCTTGGTTCTTTTTACTAGAAAATGGTATTAGAAGGCAAGATTTGAGTGCTAGATACGCACATTGCCATGGGGATGTCTTGCTTTTTGCCATTCTCAGCTGACAAAGGAAACATACGTGTATACTGTTATATATATATGCAATGTCTATAAATATTTCTGTATATAACCACTTGAATCTATATATGGGTGAGTTTTTTTAAAGTCTGTTACAGCTATGTAGTGTAATATTTACAGCTGAAAATAATTATACAGCTGTGATTTGCTTTTAAAAACTCCAGCAAAGGCCCTGACTGATGCGGCTCAGTGGGTTGGGCATTGTCCAGTAAACCAAAAGGTCACTGGCTAGATTCCTGGTCAGAGCACATGCCTGGGTGCAAGGCCAGGTTCCTGGTTAGGGTGCAACTGATCCATGCTTCTCTCTCACATCAATGTTTCTCTCCCTTTCTCCTTCCCTTCCCCTCTCTCTAAAAATAAATAAATAAAGTCTTTTAAAAAATAAAAACTCCAGCCCTGGCTGCTGTGGCTCAGTGGATTGGGTGCCAGCCTGTGGACTGAAAGGTTGCTGGTTCAGTTCCTAATCAGGACCCCAACTGGGGGGTGTCCTGGTTGCGTTTCGAGAGTGAAACGCAACCAATCAGCATATCTCTCACACGTTAATGTTTCTCTCCCTTTCTTTCTCCCTCCCTTCCATGCTCTCTAAAAGTAAATAAATAAAATCTTAAAAAAAAAAGCTCCAGCAAAACAACAAAATAATAGGACAGTTGACTAAGATAATACAGAGTGATGGGTATATTTGGGATTCATTATTACACTATTCTCTCTATTTCTGTGTATGTTTAAAATATTCCATAATACATTTTTTAATATAAAAATAGATCCAGCCATGGCTGGTGTGGCTCAGTGGATTGAGCCCCAGGCTACAAACCTAAAGGTCACCAGTTCAACTCCCAGTCAGGACACATGCCTGGGTTGTGGACCAGGTCCCCTGTTGGGGGCATTTGAGAAACAACCAATTGACGTATCTCTCACACACTGACGCTTCTCTCCCTCTAAAAAAAAAAAGAGAGAAAGAGAGAGAGAGAAATCCAGAAAATCCTCATTTAAAGATAATCAAATCAAAAAGAGAAATACAGATAGCCTGACGCAGGGCATTCAGACATACCCACACTTACACTCACACATGGAACTCCTCCTTTCCAGATGAAACTCTGCCATTCCTAAGTGAAATTTTGAAAAGGACAAATTTTTTTTTTCTTCCACATGCTTGGACTCATCTGCCTGTACAGAAACCTCAAACTTCCTGTTGTCTTTCTACTTCCTAAATCTGCTTTTGGGAAAAATCCGATCATGTGAAAGCTCCCTGTGACTATAAATCAAAGTGTAATTTCTCCTAGGAATTTACCTTTCTGCTTCATCTTTGGCTGGACATGGAGTCGCATTGTTTTTGGCTTAGGAATTTCAGGCAAGGGGTGTTTGGCAGGCACAGCAACAGTCCCCAGTGCCCCTGGAATTGTACCTGTGGGTGGTTTTCCTCCAAGCCCCACAGGC